CTCAGCTTCTTTCTTTTGCTCATCACCTCGGCCACCCTAATGTGCCACCTTGTTTTTATATAATTTAGCGCGAACGTTGTATTCCGCTAATTCGAGCAATTCGTTTTTATTCTGTCGTTGCCTTGGGTATGCGTCTTCGAACTTGTGTCGCGAGTGAGAGTTTGGCGTTCAAGTGTACTCCTAGCCAACGCATCTCGCTTTGGGGTCTCACCGGGCCGGCTGGTGTGGTGACGGTGATATTGCTGGGGTTCCGCCAGTTTTCTTTGCGTCCTTGCCCCGTGGCGGGAGGTAAAGTGCCTCTGTTTTCTTGTGGTCTATCCTGAGGCCCAGGTCGAGTGCTCGTTTGTGGAGTTCCGCTGCCCTCCGGGTTCCTCGAATAATTCAGCAGAACGCCCCTGCATCCTTGGCCCCTCCGGTTCCGGCTCCTTCTGGGCGGCCAGCTCCAGCTCCTGAATGCGGTGGTTGATTTTCTCCAGCGTCGAAGACCTTGCCTTTTCTACCCTCTCTTCCGCCTCCTCCTCTTCCTTCGTCTGAGGAAAGATCAGGTATTGGTTGGCCGCGTCTACCAGCACCCTATGTCTTTGCATTCAGTGTTCCCTAGGATCAGATCGTGACCAGATTTGATGACCATCATCACTTCGTCGGGGAGGATCCGATTTTGGACCTGGAGTGTGCCTCGCAGGCATAGATTGATCGTCCCGCTGTGTTGGCCGTCATAACCTTCCACGGTGTGGGGTTTGAAACCTCGGAGCTGTTCGATTTGCGTTTTATTAATGAGTTGGTCGGCGAATGTTTTGCTTACAAAGATATCCATTTGCTCCCGAGTCAATAAGTGCATCAGTTGTAGTTAAACACTTGCCATTGCTTGCTATGGCACAGGAGATAAGCAGTGCTTCCCCGCCTAGATAACCATTCAAGATATCCTTCCTTACCTTTGTTTCCGCCACCTCTGTCCTCGACACACTGGAACAGATGCGTACTGACTCAATCCCTGGGAGGGAGTCTACGATTCCCAGGGTAGCTAGTTTTTTACCTCTTCCGTATTCTTTTCAGCCTTGCGAGCGAACTGCTCAACTGGCTCATTAATGCGACTTGGGTTGTTGCGCTTATTGGGACAATCCTTGAAAAGATGACCGGTCTGTTTGCAGACGAAGCACTTGTCTTCCTCCAACAACTTGCGAGTCTCTTCCTTCAACATGTCGGGGGGACGACGAAAACCCGAGCCCTTGGCTGCGGACGGAAAAGAGGAGGACGATCCTCTAGCCTTGCAGAGGTATTCGACCGAGAAGAGGAGTTCTTGTTGTCCTTATCCTTACCCTTATCTTTACCCTTATTATCCTTCTGTTTTGCCTTCCACAGGCGTTGACTGTTCACACATTTCTTGGCCATGCGGACGAAGGTCGAAAAATTGACAGTGTCTTCGCTATATCCGAAAAGGAGAGCGTTCTGGATATCGGTAGGGAGTTTCCAGTTGAACTCCTGCTTCCAGATATCGGCTGGGCGATTGCACTCCCCCGCTAGACGTACAAAGGCGTTGCGGAAGTCCTGGAAATCCTGACTCATCTTGAACTGTAACTCGTTGAACTCGAGGATTGCCTTCTCTTTGCGCTTGTGGTCGTAGTACTCACTCTTGAGGTGATCAAGCAGCTGTTGGGAGGTCTTGAGACAGTGCGGACCGTCTCCAAGGTATGGCTCCAAATTTTGGGCGGCCTTGCCGGCCGTACGGTTCTCGATGTACATTCTTTTGGCTTCGTCGTCGAGAAAGTGATCGGCGTTAAGCTTCAGCTTGTTCTGGATGCGGCAGTACCACACACCGAAGGTAACCGTGTCCATTGTCTTTCTCATTGTAAAAATAGGGCGGGTCCTTTTCTTTTGCCGACAGCCGACCGCTGCTGTATGTCGAAGTGCCAGTAGCGGGCGTACCTTCCCGGTCGGTATCACCACGATCGTCGGTGTCATCGTCACGACTGCGGCTGTGGGCTTGTTTCTCCAAGTTCTGCGCGTTCAGGTCAATAGTTACCGTCTTCTTCTGCTTACGCAGCTTCATGGCCTCTTTGGTAAGGCGAGCGATAACAGCGTTGAGATCCGAGATATCATTTTCCCTGGTGGCCACCTCCGTACCCAACTCCTCTGCCTGAGCATTGAGGGAGACAAGCGAGTCCTGGGTTTGGGCCAGCTTCTTATAGGTCTTGGCCAGATCGTTCCTGACCATATTCATCTTGGCCAGCAGCTTGGGGCAGTTGCGGCATCCCTCAGGGGGAGCAGGAGACCAGCTGCGGTAGTGGTCCGGTGAGCGGGTCGGACTCTGGTTGTCGTGCGAACCTCGGTGGTCAGGACGGGAGTTGTCGTCAGTAGTCGTTACCCTTTTTCTTGAGCTCAATATTCTCGTCCTCTGCCGCCTTCCAGTAGTTGGGGAAGTTCATGGCGTGTTCATACATCTTGCCCAAGTTAGTGTTCAGGTTGATGGCAATGACCTGATATCTGCGCTGTTGGGCAGCGCCAACTCCACGAGGATGGCGCGCAATTTGATCTCTTGAAAGATCGCTTCAAGACCGGCAGGATCTTGACAAATGTTCTTGAAGGTGGGGAGGTCTACCAGCAGAGGTCCCATACGGGACCCGTCGCGATGTAAATGCTCCGACTAATGCTCCTTCCCGGCGGTTGTCAGTGGACGGAAGGAAAAGAAAGGGGCCGTCGCCCTTCTGCGAATAGTACTTCGCAATCGCGCTAATCTTCGCATACAGGAATGCGTACAAGTCTTTCCTCTTAAAGGTGTACCGCACGTTGGCCAACTTATTAGTGACTTCCTGGTTGAAAAACCCGATTGCTTCCTCGATATCGTTGGGTGCCTCCTCGTCCTCCAGACTGGACACATCCAGAGTCCTGGATTGGGCATCCCATTTGTCCTTGATGGTGACAATGTTCAACGAACGTCGACGGAAAGCGTCATCCTGTTCGACCACGGACTCAGGGGTGATCGGGATGTCCTCAACGTTGAAGACAACTTGCTCAGCGGCAACCTTGTCATCCTGGGCTCTAATAGCCTGTTTCTGAGCCTCATTAGCTTGAGCGCTCACTGCGGCAAACACCTTTGACGCGGTGACCTGCTGCTTCTTCGGCGAGGCCTGGGCCGTCGCCTTTTCCTCCGGGGTGTGCACCATCGCGGGGTAAACCGGAGTCAACGTTGAAGCGATGCGACACGACTGCTTTTCTGAAAAGTGCAAAAGTGATAGGATGTTTGGTTTCCTCCCTGGAAAGTGTAGAGTTGATCTTGTGATTGTCACGAGACACAAAGCTGAACACGTTATTCCAGATCTATAGTAAAATCACAAGATAAAGAAGAAAGGCGGAAAACGTGCAAATGCGCGCCTGGCGCCCAGGGTTTCAACCCAGGGCCCGGGTGGGCTGTGCACGCGGCACAGCATTACGTACTAGGACCCATCCGCTAGTGTCGTAACATTATTAACATTCCAATTAATTAGAAGAAAGTTATTAAGGCTACTGATAAGAAAAATATACCAATATTTACGTAGTGACTTTCAATAAAAAAAACACAAAATTAATATTTAAAAAATGAAGTATAAATACCAAAAGCTTTCATTAATGGAAATAAAATTGCGATCATTATCGTCTGAATCTTCATGAAAAGCATTTTTCAAGCCGGTTATAATAAGATAAATAAAGAGATTATTATTTAATTTATTGCAAAGAATAAAGGCTACAGGGTAATTGGGGCTATATTTTAAAAAAGAGAGACCGAAAAGAGAAAGATACTTTTCGTTAAAGTAGCAATAGTAAAAGGTATTATTTACATCGAAAAGGGTTTATTCCTTTGGAATAAAAGGGTACACTATGACGAATTATTTAATATTATGATATTTTTCAGTAATATTTCAAGGATTGAGATAGGTTATATTAGCTGATTTTATTCTAAATTTAATGGGTATTCACATTAAGGCAGAGAAAAATGTAATAGGCTTAAATTTAGGTTAACGAATCATTTATTTACCGAAAAGTATTTACCAGTTTCTTTTTAGTTTATAGCAAATCCGAATATTGTAGTTTAAATAAAAAGAAGTGCCCGTTTATTGAACTAGTTTATACAAGAATGTTGATTACATATATTAAGAGGGCGCGTAATTATATTTCTTGTCAAAACTTGAACAAAAATAGTCCCAGGAAGGGCTTAGAATTTTTAGTGGAAGAGTATATCATTCTAAATAATTTGCTAACTACCGACTATGAGGTTGTAATTGATAATTGAAGATGAAGAAGTTGATTATAATAAAGAAAATTTAGAAATATTCTCAAAATAAACTACCCGAAAAATAGAAGACGGATAGCTTAATATATACGCTTTTAAAGCTATAGTAACTCCAGCGCCGGATTCATCACCCTACTTAATTATATGGTAGCACCGATTGCGTTATAACTACTTAATGTAAGTTGAATTATAACCGAAAGGACCCTCCTTTCATATAATTAATAGCTGAATTTAAAATTCTCTACTAAAATATAGAAAAAAGTGTATGATAGAGGGAAATTATTATTAGAGTAGGCGGAGATTGATAATATTATATACTGTCTCATCACGCTCAACGATTTATATAGTCTACCCAATGGGTAAGC